GGAAGATAAAGGAAAACGTTCAACTACATACTAATCTTCTACCCAAATTCTCAACCTCCACACTCTCCTATCAAGGGTCATGTCCTCAGTAAGTTCAAGTTGTGCCATGTCACGCTTGATCACCTCTCTCCAACACTTCTTCGGCCTACCTCTACCCTTCCTCTTACACCTCCCCCCCTCCCCTCCCCCCCATCCGGCCAACCACCTCCTGACCGGGGCATCTGTGTTTCTCCTCTTAACATGCCCGAACCATCTCAGCCTCGCCTCTCACATCTTTTCCTCCACAGGGACCACTCCCACCTTGTCCCCAATAACTTTATTCCTAATTCTATCTAACCTCGTGTTCCCATATATCCATCTCAATATCCTCATCTCCGTTACTTTTATCTACTGGACATGAGAGTTCATAACTGGCCAGCACTCTGCCCCATATAACATAGTCGGTCTAACCACTACCTTGTAGAACTTCCCTTTTAAGTCTCAACGACACATTCTTATCGCACAAGACACTGAAAGTAAGCCTCCATTTCATCCACCCTGCTCTGATACGATATGTTTCATCCTCATCAATCTCCCCATCACTCTAAATCACAGACCCAAGGTACTTAAAACTCTCTCCTGGGAATGACTTGCGTATCAAGCCTCACATCCCCGTCCGCTTCCTGGGCAACACCGCTGAACTTGCACTCCAAGTATTCGGTCTTGGTCCTGCGTAGCTTGAAACCTTTAAACTCAAGGGTATGTCTCCAGACCTCTAGCCTCTCGTTAACACCACCACGCGTCTCATCAATCAGAACTATGTCATCTGCAAATAATATGCACCAAGGTACCTCCCCTTGAATGTGTCATGTCAATGCGTCCATTGTCAAGAAACGAAAATGGGCTAAGTGCACATCTCTCAAGCAATCGCTAAAACCATTAAATTATCAAGTATTAAAAAAATTCTAATTTATGTAGTTTAAAAAAACATTAATTTAGCTTAGTCAATTGTATGGATGAAAGTTTAACAACCTATAATAAACAAATCAAAGGATCACTGCAAAAACATTTCTATATTTTGCAGTTGGAAGTTTGAACTACCCTATCAATTAAAAGCATGAAACTTGGACCAATAGAAGACTAATATAAGTTTAATCAAGTATAAGTAATCATGTAAGATCATCTATTCTTTATTTCTTGTTCTATTTTGTCTAGAATTACTGAAATAAATCTAACAGGAGAACGTGAGTATTGTTAAGAAAGGGTCGATATTAATTGGTTAACCAACTTTTACACTGTTGGAGAATATTAGGGTTGGATCTAATGAATAAGCTATGGGCACATTTGAATCAATATTTTTGACTTAGACTCTCTATATTTTCAAAATTATTAAATGAATACAAATAATTGGTTTCGATTTAGGGTTGAGAATATTAGGGGTGGAGAGATTTTTGCTAACTGAATCTATCCAATATTTAATATTTGAACTGTCAATCCATCTATTAAGCTCAAATATTATGAAAATGTCATTACTAGTAATGTGCAGGACTAATCCAAAGGCAATTTTAGAAGAAAAAATAAGAAGAAATCAGTTGCAAAAGTTGATGCAGTCCCACACTTATGAAACATCCCAACTGACAGAAAAAAGTGGTTTCTCAAGAAATGATTAAAGGCATAGCTGATAGGGAAGAATAGAGAAAAAAGAAAGTTTTCTAGTTGAACTTTTTAATATTCATTGTCTCTCTCTTTACTTTAATGTTGTGTAGAACATAAAGCTGGAAAGAGTTGGCAAATGTTGGCCTTTTTAAATGGATTCATTCTTTACCACTCTTTCTCTGTCTCCACATTGATGCTACTGATGAGCCTTCTTTACCCTTCTAACTTTTCCTCAATATCTCATTATTCATTACCATCATCACAGCCAGTCCCATTCCTTTCATCAACACATTACCTGTTCTTTGCTTTTGTATGATAGGTAACTGGACGCGCGAATCTAGAATTTTTAGAATATGAGTACACACTAAAGAAATGAGAAAGAAAAAAAAAATATTAAGTGAAAATCGATTCATGTTTATTTTGAGCAGAGGCGAACACACAATAGGTTAAGGGGTCACCGGCACCCGAAAAATTCCCCAAAAATCGAATCTATACTGGCAAATATCTTCAAGATATTAGCGTAGACCCCTATATTAATTTTTGTGAGCAGTAATAAATTTATATTGAATGTGGACTACAAATCCGCTCATGGAAGTAACAGTTTGACAAAATCCAACTCAATTTTCAATAATTAGTCTAACTTGTCCAAATCAATATGAATCGGGTTATAATCTATATGTTAACTTGGCTCAAAAGGGTCAAACTCAAAATGCTCCATCAAATTTTTGGTTAAAAAACTGGATTCAGATGAAACAAAATGCAACACAAACTAAACATAATGATCAAATTTATAGAATGTGAATCATGTAAACTTGGAGGAAGTTAATGCTAATAATCAAAGAAAAATACATTAACTTTCACATTTTCTAATTCAGAAAAGAAAAGTTGGGTCTTGTTGTACTGATTGGGTTATGAACCATTATTAGACTCATATTGACCCAGCATATTTTGATTCAAACAAACTTTGAATAGATTTAGTCATGATCCATTTATCAATTTAACTCATTTTGATATGTCCAAGTTTGATCAACCCGCCTGGTTGCCGCCTCCACATAAAAATGATTATTATAATGGTGGTAAGCAGAGACGAATCTAAGATTCTAAAATATGGGTGATGCACCACTAAAAAAGAGAAAAAAAAGTATTACGTGAAAATTGATCTATATTCCTTTAGGTAAGTAATTTAGAATTCAACAAGATGCATCATTCAACATTTATGAAGCATTGATACCAACAGATAATATAAGATAAATTCTAGAAAATAGACATAAAATATCCAGTTCGTTGAAAAGATCATGCGTTCACGTCTCCATAAACTACTCTATAAATTTGCTCCCGGTGGTAAAGTTAGCTAGTGAGCATAGAAATTAATTAAGAATTTTAAGTTGGTGATATATATATATATATATATATATATATATATATATATATATATATAATTGAACTCGTTGCATTCAATATAGGCAATTTCCAACCAGAAGGTTGCAGTAAGGGAGACTCCGTGGGACATGCAAGCACGAAAGAGAGCCTTTAAACATTTTAGTGAATTTCACAAGAGCAACCTAATAAGTCACATGAAAAGTTCACATTAATTGATGACTGAAGAAAGGTCACAAACAAATGCCTAATCTAACCAATTACTGAATTTTTGTTTTAGCAAACCTCTTCAATTTGGTCTTTGTTCATAATGTGTCAAACATATAACTAAATAACTAATCGAAGTTAATTGTAGACCACCAAAGTAAAACAATGACAAAAGCACACCTCTCAATTCATAATAATTTGTCTCCTAGACGTCCATTAATTAATTTTGGTGACAAGAAGTCATGCTACTAGGATACAACCTGATAAATGCGAAAACAAATTTGAGGTACAAAAAAGTAAAGTGGAATATACTCGTTTTCTCTCTAATGTTCAGTTAATTACTCAAATGGTTATTCAACTTGATGGATTTACCTGACAATTTTTTTTTTGTTTTGTTTTTTGTTTTAGGACAAAATGGTAGCTAATCTATTCATTTATTTCTTTTGGAGAAACAAAAGTTCCGTGACTATTCTTGTCCTAAAACAAGAAAAGTGTTTTGCTAGATAAACTGATCACGTTGAGTGACCATTTGGCGAATTAATTCTTCTATGTTTGCGAAAGAAAAATAACGAGATATAAATTATTTCAACTTCTCATTATGCATAGTTCCAATTTTAAATAATTTTCCAAAAAAAAAAAAAGGAACTCTCTAACTTTTTTTAATAGAAATCTTGTTTTGAAAATGCTTTCAAAGATCAGTAAAATTGGCTTCCTACTTTTTCAAATCTTAAATTTGTTGTGGGGTGTACATGAATAAGAACAATTTAAGCAATGATATTCTATTATTAAGCTGGATACGAAATAGCCGCTGTATATATTCGTTGTATTGGAACAATCACAAATAGTTCAAGATTTCCCCCCTCCATAATTAGAAATTAAAATTTTATCAAGTCAACGAAAAGAAAAGGTGAAAAACAAGTGGTTGAAAGAGAAAGAAAAATAAATTATTAAAAAATCATATCAAATGTATTTTCCTAAACCAAAGCAAACTAGTAGCAGTAGATTGTCACAAAACTCAACATTATCATTTTAAATTACGTACGTCATACACAACTTTTTTTCTAAATTACTTTTCAAAAACTATACCAAATTCCAATTCTAATAACATATTGAATTTCTGGTCATATGCAAACCGACATGAATAACTAAAGCAATGATAGTCATTCTTGAGCTCGACTGTAATATTCAATTTATTCATTGTATATTACAATAATCCTCAAATAAGCACTAAAAATTATTGTAAAGTACAAAGGTTATCTCTGAAAAAAATAAACAATTCCCCCTCCATATCTTGAATATTCCCAAGTCAACCAAAGAAAAAAAGACCCCAAAAAAAATAAGTAAACAAGAGATGA